TGAAGAGAGGAAGGGATTAGTATTTGTACACATTTTATAATTCTATTAAAAACTAACATATGTTTAAAAAAAAAAATTATTTAAGTTTGTTAAAATATATAACAATAAAATCGTAGATGAGTCAAATTGATTAACTCCGGCAATCTAGTATTAATATATTGTTTTAATATGGTATTAATATATTATACCATAAATTTCAATGGGTGACAAAAAAAAGAATATTATAAGAGAATTAACGATGAGAAAAGGAACACATACAACTTTTCTATAAATCACGTCTGAATGTAATACGGGAATATAGTTGGAAGTTTATCAATGGTCTTTCAGTTGATATCTTGTATATAACGTTATCGAAGATAGATCTATGAAATGCACTGACTTTAGATCGAATCTCCAAACTTTCCCTTCAAATCCATTTGATTTCCACGACGATTCGCTTCGTACGAATATCATGATAGAGTAAAGGTCCAACTTCTAACTACAACGTACGATCTACGACATCGTACTAACGTTAATAATGAAATCGAGACCCGAATTTGAAGGTTGATATGCAACGATGAATCCGTATTAAATTCAAGAATGAAATGAATATAAATCAAAATAAAAAATGCCATCTACGAAACAATTCGATCCTTAACACTTTGAATAAAAAATATTCAATTTGATTGATAGTCACACAAATTGGATCTTAAAAATACTTAATTGATTATAAATATGATAACAAAAAAAAAAGAATAAATAAATAAATTTAAAATAAAACAACTAAGTTTTTGCGTCCTTTTTCGATTTGACCTAATTAACTTCGACTTATTATTTTTAACAAAAATTCGATACAATCTCGATGAAAATAATTAATGAGTTCCTTTATTCCTTCCATTATTTCAGCAATACACATTTCAAAAACGCTCCTTTTTTTCCCCGTCAAAAATGCAACGCGAGTTGTCTCTTCTTTTATTCGTAACTTCGCAAACACACGTATTCGAGTAAATATTATTACTAAAAGGGAAAAACAATAAGGTTTATTAGAAAGCAATTAAAATATTAAAAGAAGAAAAACTGTGTGGAAGGGGAATGTATTGGGTTGGAGAATAAGTTCGTACCGTTTTATATTTTATTTTATTTTACAACGATTTGTTTGTTGTTCGGCAACGGATAAGTGTTCATTCGATAGAACTCTTTCTGCTCTAAAAAAAACAATGTTAATTGTATTTTTAAGTTATTTAATTTTTTATTAGTTTTGAGGTTTAGAAATGGAATACCCAGGAGGCAAAAATAAACATTTTCAACATATGCTCTTCCTTGTTTTTCATCGAAATCAAAAAGCTGCCGAAGCAGCCCGGGACTTTTGCGACGTGTATAGAGAAGGTATCCTAGGCGAGTCTACATCACGGAAATGGTTTGCAAAGTTCAAAAATAGCGACTTTAACGTCGATGACACGGCCCGCACCGAAAGGCCTTCTGAATTCGATGAAGAACGTCTCAAATCACTTTCGAAGGAGAACGGACAACAAAGTGCTCTACATTGACCAGCTACACCACGTGAATGAGGCTATTCGACTGAAAAGACCTGATCGACATGGTTAAACCATACTCTTTCACGACAACGCAAGGCCCCATGATGCACTATTCGTCATAGCCGCACTCCAAAAGCTCGAAATGATGATAATTTAAAAAAGGTTTACGTAAAACTTTGCACCAACCGATTACCATCTTTTCCGCTCCCTGTCAAACCATATGAAGGGTGTTACCTTCAATAACATGGAGGTCCTTAAAAACTGGCTGAACAACTTCTTTGACTCCATACCAAGCGATTTTTGGCGGAACGGCATTAACAAATTGGTCGGAAGGTGGGAAGAAGTTGTAAACAGCAACGGCGAATATATAATTGATTAACTTATTGATATGATTATTGTTTTTTGTTTAAATAAAAGTCTTCGATAAAAACGGTACGATTTTATTCCCCAACCCAATATTTACGTGAAATATATATCTCGTAATGCAGATAATGTATCCTCGAGTTATAATGTGAAAAAATAAAGTATGATAAAGAAGGAAAAAAAGAAAAAAAATAAGAGTGAGAAAGAGAAAGAGAGAGAGAGAGAGAGAGGGAGGAAGGGAGAGAAGTATGATGTAAAGCTGTCTTAGAAAATATTCCACAAAAAGAGGCACGTACAAGGTTGCGAACGTGCTCGTAGAAAGAGAGAACTCGACTGGCATTTTATTGGTGCTGCAACACCTCAACTGCACACCAACGACGATTATTTTCTTTCCTGTTTTTCATTATTATTATTATTATTATTATTATTATTATTATTATTATTATTATTATTATTATTAATATTATTATTATTATTTTTTTGTTATATTTTATCACAACTTTTTCTTTATTCTTTCTTTCTTGATTCCTTTCTTTAACACTTTCGCTCCCTCAGCATTTACCTCTGTTTTTCTTCTTTATTTTTTTTTTTTTACTTTATAAGAAGAAATGCGTGTCGGATAATGCTGCAATAGCATTTCTCTTTCACTTTTTCTCTATTTCTATATTTTTTTTCTTTTCTTTATTTATTTCTTTCAATTTTCAAAGGATTACGAGTTTCGCAATAACACGTTCCTAATTATTATACGAGTAAGGTCAAACGTTCGTTAAGATGAATTAATTACAAGTTCTGGAGGAACTTTGAAGGGTTATCACGCATATACACGTTAGGAAATTTCAACTCCCCCCCTCCTCCTCCTCCTTCCAAACAACCTTAATCTTCTCTGCACGACTATTCAATTTTCTTACGCGAATAATAAAGAAATGCAAACAGATGAACTTATCCTCTCTTTCTCGCCATTTCGATTGCTCCTCCTGTTGCCATAATCCCTTTGGACAACAATTCAACAAGTTTGTGAAGCTAAATCATCGATTTACTATATGTTCACCTTTTTTTTTTTTATTTTTAACTTTTATTCTTTTCAATATTTATTCCCAAATATGACACATTTGATTTTACATAAAAATTTGTTTTTTCTTTTTCATTCGTAGTTTCATTTTTATTTTCATACTTTTGAAAATTATTAAATAAACATGACTATTTCCATATGTAGTAAACGTTTGAGATAATATTTCATATTTTTATATGAATTTGTTTCAATCGTTTTAATCGATATTTTGATATTTAATAATGTCTCTATTTTTTCTCTAAATATCCTTAGAATCGCAAGAAAATTATGGAAAAAACTATTTTCTCCGAGGTTTCGAAATGTCTAATTGGAATGACAAAGAGAAGCATATCTTTGATTATAGAAATAGATGAAATTGAACACAGAGAGACAAATACTAACTACGCATATTCCTACTATTACCGGTATTAATTAAATCCTTAATACTGTCACGGATAGTTTACTATTGAGCGAGCAATGCTAACGAGAGTTGGTAATGCAAACCTCTACATATACACATTTCTGAATGCACACATAGATGAACATACATACATTTTCACATACCTATCTACCTATATTGGTTCACAGTACATGTTGTATTAGTAGTACAGTTAAGCACGTTTCACATAATCCTAGACGATCCTAGCGATACAGACGCAATCCAGACACATGTCTGATTTATATTAGACCATTACTACTATTCCACCGCTGTTGGATTGATTGATACTTATTTGCCAAATAGAAATGAATATTTTAATTGCTATCATTTATAATTAACTTCTACCATGAGATAACTGTAACACTATAAATGATTACGAATAAATGTTGTATCACGATACTAAAATATCTTAACGATTTTTTTTTTGTTTCCTTTTACGTGAAATTTATCTAGCACGTTGAAACACATGATATCTTTATTTTCCTAACGAGACGCATGTTAGCCATTTTCTTTGTGAAAATATTCCTTCGTTAAAATTTCTCTACGGATTTATTTTATCTTTCGAAAGAGTAAAACGAACATTATAATAAATATTTCGTATTACCTGAAGAAAAATAATAAACGTAGAACGTTGATGTGTTTCTTGTGAAATATTTGAAACCGTTAATACGGATATATTATTATTTCGGTAGATTTTTAGTGTTTGTTATTCACGTAGGAGGACAAAAATGTTTTCGTGTTTATAAAGTGAAAGAGTAAAAAAAATAATTTCCGAAAAACGGCAGTTTGGTATTGTTCTACGTGAATTGGTCTTCAATTCAACAGGTGCTATTACCGCTGTTGCGAATCTACCTTGATATCGCAATAGGTATACATACATACATACATATATAGATATATATATACCTAAATGTATATAAAGTAGACGAACGAGGCAGGAAACGAACGTTTCGTTCGTGATATTTTTGTACATAATATTTTACGTTACCCGCAAACTCGTACAAATAAATTTTTCAGATAGATGTTAAAAACGTATAAATTGATAACCATGAAAAAAGAAAAAAAGGAAGTAAAGAAAGATAAATAGAAAGAAAGAGAGAGAGAGAGAGAGAGAGAGAGAGAGAGAGAGAGAGAGATTAAGATATTCTTAGCTATTTAAAATAACATTTGAAATGGAAATGTAGATTCCTGGTTAAAATGAATATCTCGGAGATAACGATTAATTAAACAATTAATTCATTCGAGGATTCATTCGTTCTTTCGAAGAATTAAATTATTTCATTTCAAGTTTCAACAATGAATAGACCAAAATAATACCACCGGTATCGCATACCGAATCTAATTTAATTTAACGATTAAAAGGCAACATGTTTCATGTGTTTCTCATGCGAAATGAACGATATTTTCTATTTTCTCAGCAGCTGTGTTCTATCCGCGTATCGAGAAACAATTGGAAAGACTAAAACGCATCTACGTGTAAAATATAATTTCGTTTATCGTCGAGTTTCGTTCACTTGGTTATATATTATATAATTTTAATAAAATCGCAATTATAGAGCCAACATAAAAATGATACGATAAGATAATTAATGAATAACATTTCTTTTGTATTTTCTTTGCTTGTTCTTTTTTTTAGGATCGATAAGCAATATCGACGGAGCGGAATACCATTGCAATAAAACCACCGTTCGTAAAGTTATCAGCGGCGTCGTGGGAGCTGCAAGTTCTGTAACATCGATCCAAGTGGCCAATCTTCTTCGGTTATTCAGAATTCCCCAGGTATGTATCTATGTATCTATGTAATCTATGTTATATATATAGGATGAATCGGGAAGAACCGCCTCCCAAACTCTAGAATTGTATTTTATACACGTGTGTGTGAAAATAATTGTAAAAAAGAGAAGAACTCAAATATTGCTCTTTTTTTTTTTATTAAAGGTTCCAAAATATAACTATTTACTCTTGTAAATATTTTCTGCTTCATATAGGAAAGGCTTCCAATTGATTCGTACCTTTTTTTTATTATACTCGTTAAAATAATTTTTAAGAGACGAATGAGAAAAAAAAAATTTCAAAAACCTGTTGACATGGAAAAAAATGTGTCATCCTAGTGATTCTGTTATGTAAGATCGACTAGAACCTAATGAAAGGGTAGAAGACAAATTTTCCTGAACCATTTGTCCCCCATTATTTCTAATGCACCTATCATAAACTCGTAACCTAAAGTAAATGCATTAAATGTTCTAATTCTTTAACGTAAAGGGAATAAATGACGATCCATCCATGAGGCTTACAATTTCATTGTTTTTTCATTTGAAATTATTTTTACATATTGAATACACTCTAAGAATTTGTAGCGTCTCTTCCGACACACCCTGTATACGTATATCTCTCTACGGAAATACATTTATTTTTTTCTCCATTCGATTCGGAATTTTCATTGATCTATTTTTCCGCAATATTCTACGTGCATTTGACAGAAGAAATAATCGACTTTAAATAAGGGAAAAAAAAACAAAAGAAATTATCTAGATATTTTTTATATTTTTTCTTAAAAATTATATCAAAAGAAATGGTTTATTTTCTTTTTTGGATCTCATCTTTTGCGTATTCAAAATTAACTTATAGTAGACACGTGTCTGTATATATATATGCATATATAAAGAGAATAAAAAGTAAGAACAAAAATATTTCACGAGAAACTGTGATCTTTGAAAGAACATATTCATAAATAAATAAATAAATAAATAAATAAAAGAAAAAAAAGGAAAAAGATCCTAAAGGTCCACGTTCTAGATTTGTTGTACTGGAAAATCATGTTACTCTTTGCTTACGCTCTAGTATACAGATAAACTTGGCGACACATTTAAATACCTACGGCATCCGGCTTACCCAGAATATTCAAACGAAGTCACGTCAGTTTGAACAGGCTGCATACGATGAATAACACGAGGAAAATTCTACAAGTTTTTATTTAACTTTCGATTTTCATTAATCCCCCTCGAATTAAACTATAATCTATATACTATTTTTTTTTCTTTTTTTTTATTCTATCGCTAACCAAAATTATAATAATAATTCGTATTTTCCATTGATATTACAAAATTTCTTACCATATTTTATTTCGACTGTGAAAGAAATTTTTAACAATGATATAGATATAGATAATATATATATATAAAAAAAAAAAGAAAAAAAAGCAAAGAAATAAAAAGTGATTAAATTTGTATTGATTAAAAAAAAAAAAAA